TTAGTACAGTAGTACATGTTGAGTACGCTCTGTTAGTACAGCAGTACATGTTGAGTACGCTCTGTTAGTACAGTAGTACATAATAACTCTCTGTCTCCACAGCGTCAGTGTGTTGAGTTCGCTCTGAAGGCTCAGCCACTGAAACTTTACATCCCAAAGAATCCGGTACAGTATAAGTTCTGGTCCATCATCAACTCCACAGGATTTGAGTACATCATGTTTCTGCTCATCCTGCTCAACACCGTCACTCTAGCTGTTCAGGTAAACATGTTCACTTCCTTTTTCCTGTTTCCTCTGAATACTAATACAAGTATGATGAAGTGATGACTGTGTTTCTGTCCTGCAGCACTACGAACAGTCAAAGAAGTTCAGCCACATCATGGACATTTTGAACATGGTGTTCACTGGACTCTTCACCGCGGAGATGCTGCTGAAGCTGCTAGCTCTCAGACTCAGGGTGAGCAAAACAAACGCACCCTGTCAGGTCTCCTAGAGCTCCAATTAATCACATCAATCACACATACAAATACTCTCTAGAGCAACACATGGGGATTCATCCGCCGCTGAAAGTAGTCCCCAAATAAAGTTTCTATTTCCTGTTGGTTTGATCAAAACACGTTGGTCCGTCTCTTAAAACCTCTTGCACACGACGCCCCCAAATTTGGGGGCTCTCGGGCTCAGCACCCCTGAAAATCATGTTCGGAAAATAGCCTTATTCTTCGGCAATACTGTGGATTGGTCCAGTTTTTTTTCCGGATCAAACAGCAACGTATGGGCAACACTATCATATAAGTCACTTCTTACACACTCCAAACACAACTATAGACTACTCATATAAGCATCTAGAAAACGTGGCATAAAAGCATGAAATCCTGGCCAGAAATCGCCGTTATGAGTACCGCAAATTAATATTTGCACCCTGATGCTAGCGGCTACCTAGCCATGCAATGCACTTAATAGCATTAGCACTCGTGGCCAAACGCGTAAATAACTTCGGTTTTCCGCTCCGTGGGAGCACTGGACAGCTGTGAGTGGTCAAACGTACCTTCGTACTGCCCTCCGCTGAAAAACATCGTAGGTATGTGGCCAAGTTTTATGAAAAATGAGTGCAATAACGTCGCAGATTATCCGTTTCAAAGCTGGAGTCATTGTTGCCAACTGCATCCTGTTTACTTCCGAGCTGTTTCCAGAATAAGAGCGGTCAATCCACCATGGGTGAGCGGTCAGACTTCCTGTGAGCAGAAATTTACGCTCGGGGAGACGCGGCACTTCTTGCAACTTTACTAGTTGAAACTTCTGTCAATCAACACCAAATTCGACACACGCCTTCCTGAGACTCTGACACCTCGAAGGAGGGCTTATTGACTGAAATCGACCGATGATAGGCTGAGATACAGCCCCATACACACACATGAACTGAGAAAATCCTATAGATGACAGCCAGAAACAGGCTCTGATGATGTTAGGAATCTCAAAATGATTCCTAACATCTGTGTTTGGATGTATTGAATAATATGAGTGATAAAAAAAAGTGAAATATATAGTTATATAGTATATAAAAGTACAATGTAAGAGCTGCAACAGCTGGTTCGAAAATGATGACCTCGCTTGACCGCTCTCTACTAAAGCCTCTTATTCTTCACTTTATCCCACTTTAACCTTTATTCAACAACTACTGATCGGTTGTGCTATGATTTGGGAGAGTTTTTAGGGAGATATCTGCATTATTTCAACAACCTTATATCAATAAAAGTGCTTTTTTTCCAGGCGAACCTGATTATTTTCAATTTGAGCGGTGTAATGTCTTCATTACTATATTAACCAGCAACATATACACAATATTACCCATCTGAACAATCTCACAAGTGTTGTGATCTGATTACATCAACAAAAATTATTAAAATAGACCTTGTAGTTACAGAACTATGGTCACTTTAGTGTGGGTATGCTATTTTCGAGCAGAGGCCTACAAATAGGGCCCGAGCTTAAGAGGTTTTAATACTGTCTGACTTCCTGTCTGTGGCCCATTGGTTCCTACTGGAGCTGGAAAACTTTCAAAGCACAAATATAAATGGCCCTGGTCTAAGAGGACATGGTCCTGGTCTAAGAGGACGTGGTCCTGGTCTAAGTAGACGTGGTCCTGGTCTAAGAGGACGGGGTCCTGGTCTATGAGGACGGGGTCCTGGTCTATGAGGACGTGGTCCTGGTCTAAGAGGACGTGGTCCTGGTCTAAGTAGATGTGGTCCTGGTCTATGAGGACGTGGTCCTGGTCTATGAGGACCTGATCCTGGTCTATGAGGATCTTGTCCTTGTCTATGAGGACCTGGTCCTGGTCTATGAGGACGTGGTCCTTGTCTCTGAGGACGGGGTCCTGGTCTATGAGGACGTGGTCCTGGTCTCTGAGAACCTGGTCCTGGTCTATGAGGATGTGGTCCTGGTCTCTGAGGACCTGGTCCTGGTCCATGAAGACTCTGGTGTTTAATGACTCTTTTCTCCGCAGCATTACTTCGTGGACGCCTGGAATTCCTTCGACGCTCTCATCGTGGTCGGCAGCGTTGTCGACATTGTGGTCACCGAGTTCAGTGTGAGTCCTCGAACGCAACACAAACACCATTAATATTAATATAATATATGAATATATTATATTATATGAATATAATATTTTATAAGACGAGTTCTACTGGAGGAAACATCATCAACAAATTTCTGTTTCAGCTTTTTACTTGGTTTTATTTTGTAAAGTTTGAGTTCACACTGAGGTCACATGACCAGTGATTAATGATGATAATAATAATTATGCTAATGATCTCCTCCCTGTCTCTCTCTGTGTCTCTCTCTCTCTCTCTCCCTGTCTCTCTCTGTGTCTCTCTCTCTGTGTCTCTCTCTCTCTCTCTCCCTGTCTCTATCTCTCTCTCTCCTTGTCTCGCTGTCTCTCTACATCTCTCTCTCCCTGTCTCCTTGTCTCTCTCTCTCTCTCCCTCTCTCCTTGTCTCTCTCTCTCTCTCTCCTTGTCTCATTGTCTCTCTCTCTCCCTCTCTCCTTGTATCATTGCCTCTCTCTCTATCTCCTTGTCTCTCTCTCTCTCTCTCCTTGTCTCATTGTCTCTCTCTCTCCCTCTCTCCTTGTATCATTGTCTCTCTCTCTATCTCCTTGTCTCTCTCTCTCCTTGTCTCATTGTCTCTGTCTCTCTCTCCCTGTCTCTCTACATCTCTCTCTCTCCCTGTCTCTCTCTCTCCTTGTCTCGCTGTCTCTCCCTGTCTCTCTACATCTCTCTCTCTCCTTGTCTCGCTGTCTCTCCCTGTCTCCCTGTCTGTCTCTCAGAGTGGGGAGGACAGCTCTCGGGTGTCGATCACCTTCTTTCGTCTGTTTCGAGTGATGCGATTGGTCAAGCTGCTGAGTAAAGGGGAGGGGATTCGTACCCTGCTGTGGACTTTCATCAAATCATTGCAGGTCAGGGGCGGGGCTAACACTGGGGGCGGAGCCAATGTGAGCACCAGTCTAACCTCCTCCTGTCTGTCTTCAGGCGCTGCCGTACGTCGCTCTGCTCATCGCCATGATCTTCTTCATCTACGCCGTCATCGGGATGCAGGTGAGCTCACACAGGTGAAGCTGCAGGGGACACCTGTCAATCACTGTGTAGCCCCGCCCTAAAGCATCCCCTGCTTTATGGTCTGTGTGACTCTAAATGGACCATAATGTACTAAATGAACATCATGCTGTATTGAAGAAGACTTGAAACTAGAGATTGAGACCATAAACTCATGTTTACAATGTTTACTGAGGTAATAAATCAAGAGAGAAGTAGAGTCATTTTCTCATAGACTTCTATACAACCAGAGGAGTCGCCCCCTGGTGGACACTAGAGAGAATGCAGCTTTAACACATGAAGCTTTGGAGAACTTTAAAGAAGCAGAGTTTATCAGAATTATGATAACTAGTACTGTCTGTCTCTGTCTCTCACTCTCTGCCTCTCTCTCTCTGTCTGTCTCTGCCTCTCTCTCACTCTCTCTGTCTCTCTCTCTCACTCACTCTCTGTCTGTCTCTCTCACTCACTCTCTCTGTCTCACTCACTCACTCACTCTCTGCCTCTCTCTCTCTCTCTGTCTCACTCACTCACTCACTCTCTCTCTCTCTCTCTCTCTCTCTCTCTCAGACCTTTGGGAAGGTAGCGATGCAGGATCTCACTCAGATCAACAGAAACAACAACTTCCAGACATTTCCTCAGGCGGTCCTCCTCCTCTTCAGGTCAGATCCTCTTCCTCTTCTTCCTCTTCCTCCTCCTCTTCGTCTCTGATTGTGACAACTGAATTCTATTGAAATACATTATCCAGGGGCATTATGGGTAATGGAGTCAGAGTTCTGTTTTGAATATTTCTCAACAACTTCAAGAACTATTCAATCAAATATGAAATATTATAATATCATGTAAATAATCACATGCGTGTGTGCAGGTGTGCGACAGGTGAGGCGTGGCAGGAGATCATGTTGGCCAGTCTTCCAGGTAAACGCTGTGACCCAGAGTCTGACTACGGACCAGGAGAAGAGTTCAGCTGTGGAAGCAACTTCGCCATCGTTTACTTTATCAGCTTCTTCATGTTGTGTGCTTTTCTGGTGAGCGCGCGCACACACACACACACACACACACACACACACACACACACACACTCACACTGACTGCTTGTGTGTCCTTCAGATCATTAACCTATTTGTCGCCGTCATCATGGACAACTTTGACTATCTAACACGTGATTGGTCGATTCTGGGACCGCATCATCTGGACGAGTTCAAGAGGATCTGGTCTGAATACGATCCAGAGGCCAAGTATGTTTGTTCTTAGCCTAGCTTAGCACAAAGACTGGAAGCAGAGGCAAGGCAATTTTATTTGTACAGCACATTTCAACAACAAGGTAATTCACATAAAACCATTAAAAGCATCAAAACATCTGCAAAAGAAAAGGAGCTTTAAAAACAATTAAGAACATTCATTGAAACAATAAAAGCAGTGTAAGAAATAAAATACAGTAGTATAGTAAAATGCAGAAATGTATTAATATCCTTGAATGTGGTTCAATTAAAGGCAGCAAACAGAAAAGTCTTCAGTCTTGATTTAAAGGAGCTGAGGGTCTCAGACAGACCTGCAGCTTTCTGGACTTTGTTCCAGATATGTGGAGCAGAAACACTGAACGCTGCTTCTCCATGTTTAGTTCTGACTCTGGGAACAGAAAGTATACCAGTCCCAGATGACCTAAGGGGTCGGGATGGTTCAAAAAGTAGCAGCAGATCAGAGATGTATTTTGGTCCTAAACCATTCAGTGTTTTATAAACCAACAACAGTATTTTAAAGTCTTTGTTGGACAGGAAGCCAGTGCAAAGACCTCAGACCTGGAGTGATGTGATCCACCCTCCTGGTCTTAGTGAGGACTCGAGCTGCAGCGTTCTGACTGACTTGTTACAGAGACCTGTAAACACACCATTACAGTAGTCCAGTCTGCTGAAGATAAATACGTGGACAAGTTTTACCTGTTGAGACATAAGTCCTCTAATCCTTGATGTATTCTTCAGGTGATAGGAGGCTGATTTTGTAATAGTCTTGATGAGGCTGTTCAGGTTGAGGTCTGAATCCAGAACTACACACAGATTTCTGGCTGTTTGTGGTTTTTAACATCAGTGATTGAGGTCAAAACTGCTCGGTAAACTGCTAGCATAGCTTAACACAAAGACTGCAAGAAGAGGTATACTGCTAGCCTAGCTTAGCACAAAGACTGGAAGAAGAGGTATACTGCTAGCCTAGCTTAGCACAAAGACTGGAAGCAGGGTTTGTTGTTGCTAATATTTCTGTATGCAAAATAATAAATTCAGTAGTTTTACTTATAATGGAGTATTTTGATATTGTGCTACTTTTACTTATGTACTTGAATACTTCCTGTCGTATAGAACACCTGGACGTTGTGGCTCAGATGACATCAGATTGTATTTAGTTTTGTTCTATTATTATATTGCAGTATTACTAGTTATTGTATTATGTTCTCTTCCTTCAGGGGTCGTATAAAACACCTGGACGTTGTGGCTCTGCTCAGGAGGATCCAGCCTCCTCTGGGTTTTGGGAAGCTCTGTCCTCACAGAGTGGCTTGTAAGGTAAAATATATATATAAATACTTTAAGTATTATAAAAACTCATATGAAGGAACAATCTAATGTCAACTTCATGGTTAATTACTCTGGGTGTCCCACAGGGCTCTGACGTGTGTCCTCTACATTTATTCATATCAGGCTATAACACTCTGAAATGTACTGTATATTACAACTTTAAATGATTAATTCTCATTCATTAATGTAACATCAGGATTTTACTGCTGGAGCTCATTTTGAACTCTTAATTAATTCATCTTTTGGTCATGGATTAATCAGCTCATGATTCTCCATTCATTGATTGTAAAAAGAATAGTGAAAATAGTTTGTTTTGTGTGAAAACATCTTAATTTGTAAAGAAGCTGTCAGATAGTTAGTTAGTTAAGTTAAGATTAAAGACACACTCACATCCCATAATATGTGAACATAGTCCAGTCAGATAAAACACCTCTCCTGCTCTTCTTCCTCTTCCTGTTCCTGTTCCTGTTCCGGTTCTTGTTCGTCTTCCGGTTCCTCCTCCTCTTACACTTATTTTTCCTCTTCCTCTTCCTGTTCCTCCTCTTCCTCTTCTTCCTGTTCCTCTTCCTGTTCCTCAGCGCCTCGTAGCGATGAACATGCCTCTGAACGCTGACGGGATGGTGACCTTCAACGCCACGCTCTTCGCTCTGGTTCGCACCGCTCTAAAGATCAAGACTGAAGGTATCTGATTGGTCGTCTGTTCACGTCATTAAGACTGAATGAAGACAGAGTTTAAAATATAACATGTTTAATATCTACATGTGGAGATAACAGATTGTGGTGTTAGTTGGATAAACTGGCCAAATAAGTATTTAGTATATTATTATTGAGAATCTAAACAATCACTGTCTGTACTTAGAAAGTATTTCAGTATGTTAGTGTATTAGTATGCAAGTATATTAGTATGCAAGTATATTAGTATGCAAGTATATAAGTATGCAAGTATATAAGTATATTATTATGTAAGTATGCAAGTATGTTAGTATGTAAGTGTATTAGTATGTTAGTATATAATTATATTAGTATGTTAGTATGTAAGTATGTTAGTATGCTAGTATGTTAATATGGTAGTATGTAAGTATGTTAGTATGTTAGTATATTAGAATGCTAGTATGCTAGTATGTTAGTATGGTAGTATGTAAGTATGTTAGTATATTAGTATATAAGTATGTTAATATGTCAGTATGTTAGTATGTTAATATGTTAGTATACAAGTACGTATGTTAGTATATTAGAATGTTAGTATGTAATTATATTAGTATATTAGAATGTTAGTATGCTAATATGTTAATATGGTAGTATGTAAGTATGTTAGTATGGTAGTATGTTAGTATGTTAGTATACAAGTATGTTAATATGTTATTATGCAAGTATGTTAATATGTTAGTATGTTAATATGGTAGTATGTAAGTATGATGTGTTAGTACATTATTATGACAGTATGTTGGTGTATTAGTGTGGCGTTCATGATTGTCGAATACGTCACAGATTCCCTTCATACTCACATCTCAGCTGTCTACAGGACCTGATTACTCCGATGGTTCCTGAACGCAGCATCATCATAACTTATATGTGGCCCCGCTCACTGTTGGTAGGTAACCCTGACCAGGAGAACGAGGAGCTGAGGGGAATCATCAAGAAGATCTGGAAGAGAATGAAACCAAAACTACTGGATGAAGTAATACCACCACATGAAGGTACTAATGCTACCGATACAACAAAGATACATATACACACACACACATGAGTACCACTACTACAAACACTACTAGTACTA